TGTTGGTGCCATCAAGTTACCAGTTGAGTGTACTGCTAAGGTCAGCATGCTATCCAAAGAACACGCGGAAGATACAACCCCAGTCATATGTCCTGCAGAAATTGGTATACAAGAGGACACCACATCTCAAAAATGTTCAGAAGGTACGGGCGACATTCTTGACTCCACCTCACGCTTAAGGTACCAATTAAATTGATTTTGGTACAGACACTGACTGGTTGAAAATTTAAATTAATAAACCAAATGGGCATCCCCTTAAAGTAAGTAGATTACTATCAGATTATAGTGTATTCATGTAGTAATTGAATTTCTAAAATTTCTTTTAAAATCAAATAGTGATCGTTTTACTACCAATATCAGTATGAAAGGTACATATCTCATGATTTCATATCCCTGTCTTATGTATGTACCGTTAGGATTTCACGATATTGTACAAAAAAAAACTTCTAATGTTATGCAGAATTAAATAAACTGTGACGTTTGGGGGTATCAAGAATCCGGAAGAGGTGACGGGTAAAGTCACGTTACAGCATTGCTCACAAGGTATGGATGACATTATCAAAACCCCCTCTACACACCACATGCAATACATATGTACATTTTATTTTTTCTCTTTTCCCCACCTTCCGAATTAAATAATGTTTTTTTCCAAGGCACAACTTCGCACCTATCAAAAGACGGGGGTGACGACTTAGCTTCATTATCTTTGCCATCAGATGACAATTTGTCTGAATCACAGATGGCATCAAAAATTGACCAGATTTGTTTAAGGGAGTGTGATCCTGGTCTCTTTTCGCTGGTTATAATACATCACAAAATGACAAAATTTTCATCACAGAACATAATTATCATTTTAGGTCACTACATTTGAATGTTATTTTCCACCGCCTTTCAGGGAAATGAAGTGGCCAATAATGTTTGTACCAAAAAACCCACACCTTTCAGGCGGCCCCAAAGACGTACCAAAATGCCAGCCAGGTTTTTGACTACGCCGAGCGCTGGCCGAGGCACACTTCCCGATGATAATTCAGCGCTTAATTTGTTGGAATTTGTACTATCACACCCTGACAGCTTCGGGAGGTTGGTTGCATGCCCTCCAAATTCATCCAAAACATTTAATAATGTTTATTACATACAGTTCAGAGTGATTAACGGTTTGTTACAATACAATATCTGCAGTGCCATACTAATACAAGCGGATCTTTGCTTTGCTACTTGCACTGATATTGTCAAGTCGTTTTCTGCTCGTCAAATGGCTCAAGGAATGTTCATAGATGCATTTGCTGATTTCTTGTCCAGAGAAGATATGGAGAATAGGCCTCTCTCAGCCAACAACCGAATCTTCATTCCGACCACCATTTCGGTACATGGCAACTCTTATTTCTTTTCCTTTTTGCTGCAGTTTCTGTTTTTGGCTTCGAACGACTGTGTGCACCTTTTCCGAATGTAAAACTATATAATTTTGCTCCTGCAGGCACTAATCAACATTGAGAACGTGACTCGTAATGACACCAAGGATAACTACAAACCAGATGCCCTGGTCGAACAGCTCCATTTCGCTTTAGGGAACATTGAAGTAACACGCGAAAAACAGGCAATCAAGCACTGCTTAATCACTTACTTCTAATACACTTCATACCGGAGCACATATATGACCATGATTTCCTTTTTTATTTTCTCTAGATGTTTTTGCCAGTCATCCACAACGACCACTGGTCGCTGTACATTATCAACCATAACCAAAAAAGTTTCGACATTCTGGATTCCAAGAGATATGACATGATAGGTGGCACAGAAACCCAACATCACTTCCCAATGGCACAGAAGATATTGAAGCGATTGAGTGATGGATTCCAGGTGTTCATGGGTGGGAAGTTTCCAAAGTTTGGAAATTATCGAAAATGTTACATCAAATGTCCAAAGATGGCAACGGGTTCTAACGATTGTGCTTTCTATGTCATGAGATTCATGGAGAAATACAATGGTGACGCCGACAAGCTGTTGCAAAGCTTTCCCAAGGTAATTCATTTCTCATTTCATATTTAGTGAGCCAACGAAGGTAGCAAAAATATTTTCGATATATTATTCTTGTGCCACACAGTTTGACAAATGTTAAACATTGCAAGGTTCCTTCGGACAAGCTACGGGCGCAAATACTACACCACCTAATCTTCAACAGGTTCAACTCTGTACAAGAGCTCCATCAGGACATTGAGACATTTCGTGTACCCGACAATGCCCAATAATTATGTTTAATATGAAGAAACGTTTCATTAGCTGTTAGCTTCACTTTTGCCCCTGGATTGTATTTCTTATTTTATACAGTCCACTCCTCCGGAACTTTAGTATTTTGCACCGCCTGGTTGTGCTGTTAGTTAAGTAAAGGGCTATTGTCCATGTTTTTCCAGAACATAATACTATGCTTATTAATATTTTGTCTCCATAATCTTTGAAAAAACTGCTTAAATGTGATCCATTGTAGTAATGAAGGCAGTCAGTATAAAAAATGCTAAATAGTCTTATTGCAGCCACCTTCATTAATTCAATGCAATGTTAGCCGATAGGCAAATTCTTTACCAATGTTATTTCTTATATGGCAACATTCTGTAATAAAATTTCAAACTGCTAATCTAATAACTAATCGACTAATTTTAGACCGCAAAGTAATTATTCAAAGAGTGCGTTCAAACAATGCCATGAATTAAAAATGCATACTCAATGGGAGTCCAAGGTCATTAACCTAATTAAATAATAATCTCCCCAGCTTATAAGTATATTTATTACTAACAGGCAGAACAACTAAATAGTAATCAATTTACTACCCTCTTGTCTGTTATTTTTAAGTTCCACACTACATGATCGGAATTTCAATTTCGTAATGATCATTGCCAGAAAAAAACACAACTCTCTCGTAATATATGAGTAATTTTTTTACTAAGCGATAAAACAATCCCATTCAGTACCAGTAAAGAAATTACAAAAACGCAGCAATCCGGGCTGTGCCATATCTAACAACATAGAAACAAATATACCAAAACCTTTATTAACGTAATGTTTCTATGATAAGGACGTCTACAAAGCACAAAATGAAACTCGAGAAAACCCAATCGAAACAAACCCCTCAGTACATTCATTCTGAAAGATCCTCGGTGTCGCCACCACTTTGCACGCTACAGTCATCATCACCCAGCAATTAAGGAAGAAACAGAAGTTCTAAATATTGCAAAGGTCGTTCAGGGAAACTTACATGACTGTACACACGATCCTTCTCAGGCGTATTCATCTCACATGCCTGAACACAAGGAGGTCGATCCACACCTTCTTTGGATCCTGACGGTGTTGACGGACTGCCTGGATGCCCGGCATTCACATGATGATCCCCCCAATGATCACCGCCAACACCTAAATGGGACGACGGCGAGGTAGTGGAAGTATGCACTGGAGATTCCATTACGCAGGTCTCCAGCGAAGCTTTTTTTCTCGACTTTGAAAGCCCTCTGTGAGGAATAAACACACTACCTCCTCGGAATTGTATGGAATGCGTTTTTTCCGGATCGGGAGTCCACTGATCCATAATTACCTCCCTACATTCCCATTTTTTTTTTATAAAAATAACATTTAAAAAAAACCTTCGAAATTACAGCGCACAATTCACTGTCAAAGCTTCCAGAAACAGTAATTTTAACGTCGACTAAAAATTTTACTACCGACTCAATTAATATATTAAAAAAACCATAAGTAAATAAGGGCAAAAATCATCGCTGTGCACTAATTAAATCAATAGTAAATTGTTTGCTAACTGAAAAAATGAGGTTCTTATCGTAAGATAATTACTAAATCGCACGTAACTTTTCCCTCCGTGATGACAGTCCGATCGAGGATGAGATTCTGCAAGCATCTATCAACAATAGTACATTTTTTGCTAACGATATATTCATATAGTCATAGTAAATGAGTTACTAAGTCAAACCTTCAGAGGTTACAGGTGTGACACACGCGTTACTCGGCTCGTTATTGCGGAAGCAAACCAAATAATCCTCAGTAACTCCATTACTGCTAGACCAAACATCGTAATTAGGTAAATACTTTACTCACACAAACTAAAAAATATTACTCGGTAGGTTAGTGCGGAAGCAAACCAAATAATCTTCAGTAACTCCTTTAATGACAGACAATACCACCAGTAACTATTTTACTCACACAAACTAAAAATCTTTCTCGGTTGGTTAGTGCGGAATCAAACCAAAGAATCATCAGTAACTCATTTACTGACAGATCAGAACAAAATAATCAAGTAACTATAGAAACTAAAGATATTGCTAGTAATATTGTTACTAACAATCCAATCTTGACTTTGTGCGGCCTGTGTGCGACGACTGGGAGGGGGTGGGGTGCGGGGGTGGTGGGTGGCGGGTGGGGAGTGCGGATGGTTGCACCATCAAATTTCTACGTATAGTAACTAATTTACTTATAGTGTAACGTGCCATTTTCTAAGCTTTAGTAATAACTTTACTACACATTATTTTGAAATGGTGCAGGGGGATTGGTGGGTGGGTGGGGGGAGGGGGGATGGGCGATGGGGTGGAGGTGGGGTTGGGGGAGGGGGTGCTGTGAGGAGAGTAGTTTAGTTATTACGCACCCCATACGCGATTTAGCGCGTCCCTACATATATATATATATATATATATATATATATATATATATATATATATATATATATATATATATATATATATACACACACACACACACACATACACATACACATACACATATACATATACATATACATATATATATATACATATATATATATAGGAAAATGATTCTATACTCCCAGGAGTACGTACTCCCTCTCCATCCACCGAACGTTCATCCGCAACCTGTTCTAGGTCCTCTATTCGGCTCTCCTAACGGGTGCGTACACAATGAACCCGTTTCCATTTATATGAAAAGGAAATAATTCTCGTAGTTGTTAATTATCCCCCCATAATCGGAACAGACGTCCACATCGATCCTGTTTCGATCAAACAACTCGATCTCGTTGGCGTTCCCAGGTGGCGACGCCGTACTCGATCTCATCGGCGTTCCGCATTCCCAAGTTGGCGACGTCGGCGGAGGATATACAACCGTGCGGCGGTGGCTGACGGCGGTACAGATAAGCGATATCTCTAATCTTCCTAAATGCTGCTCGTTCCTTCCTCCAATGATGGCTCCTTCCTCACCGGTCATAGATGCTGATGCATGAGGGTGATCGACCTGGAGATGCTGCCACCCATTGGTGTCACCGGAGGAGAGGTCAGCGATCTGGGTCGGCGGAGTGCATGAGCAGGGCATCCGTGGCAAAATCGACGCGTCATAGTAGCGGAGATCATCCAAAACAGCAGGTTAGTATCGGTGTATTTCTACAGCCATCGGTGTATTTCTACGGCCAGATCGACGCACGACGTCTAAATTTTTCTTGTTTGCAGGGGCACAAGAGAAGAGAACCAGTTTATCGAAATTGCCAAAGATATATTCCAGAAATTTTGATGCCTGTGATTGAATATCTTGATTGAATATCTTGATGTCTATAGAGAAGGATTATATGTTTATGTAGTTCGGTCCATGCATATTTCAGTTTTCAGATGCTATTTTTTTCCTGTAGATGCATATGCTGTTTTTTTTTTGGTAAATTATATGCTGTTTGCCTGCTTTAATTTACACATGAATGTTTATGTGCTTACTTTGATTGCTATGCTAGCTAGTCTCTGTATAACTGCACTGTTCCCGGAGGTGTATGTGTGCTAATTTATTTAATTTTTACCAAGAGCCATATACACTACATGTTCGTATGCTGCTTTATTTCCAGTAGGGGTATGTAATGATTTTTTTTCTCCAGAAGAATATGCTTTCCATACAGGGATATGTACTGATTTTTTTTTATAACAGAAGTATTTACTTAACTTTGTATATATATACTGCATTTATATGGAGTGATAATATTGAATTTTTCTATGGAGGGGTATATACTGAAGTTTGTTAGACAATACTAGTATATAGTGCATTTTCCATAAATATGCTGATTTTTTCCATAGAGGGGTATATGCTGATTTTTTTTTATAGAAGTATATACTGAACTTTGTTAGACAAAAGTATATACTGCATTTTCCATAGATATGCTGGATTTTTTCAATAGAACGGTACATACTGGCCTTTTTACACTGAAAGGTAGTACATACTGAAAAAAAGAACAGTATGTATTCCAGAGAAAAACATATACTTCAACAAAAAATTCAGTATACAAATTTAGAAAAGTGGTATATACTATAGATCTAGAACAAGTGGTATATACTAGTACTCTAGATAGAACTGCATAAACTACCCTCTTGATCCTGCTAACCGAGATATGTCAGCGGCGATGTAGAGATTAAGGCTTTCTATCCGGTATTACATGTATTTGGCTAGCAATTAATTAATCGATACTTTGATGCGTCCAATTAATGTTTTCTTACTGATGTTGATCTAATATAGTAATATTTTAATATTTTTTTTAGAACGGCCACCATTTGGAGTGAGGAAATTAGTATATGCAGTATATACTGACAGAAAATTAAGTAGTACTCCCTCCGTCCCATAATATAAGGGATTTTGAGTTTTTGTTTGCACTATTTGACCACTCGTCTTATTCAAAAAAATTGTACAAATATAAAAAACGACAAGTTGTGCTTAAAGTACTTTGGATAATAAAGTAAGTCACAAAAAAAATAAATAATAATTCCAAAATTTTTTGAATAAGACGAGTGGTCAAACAGTGCAAACAAAAACTCAAAATCCCTTATATTATGGGACGGAGGGAGTATATGCAGTATATATTTACTACTGGTCTGAAAAAAATGGTATATACTAGCTAGTAGCCCAGGAGTAGCGGTATATACTAGTCTTGAAGATCCTGTCATTACAGTTGCAGCACATGGTGCATAGGAGGCTGCAAAAATCAGAGGCGACACCTAATGCATTTGTTCGAACCTCCATAGAACTGAATAGATTTTTTCAGCAGAATATATATCTACCTCTTGTTTCTTTTTCTATATTTTTCGATCGCTTGTGAGCATGAGATCATATATATACCTCTTTTTTTTTGTATTTACAAAGAATTTTGTACCATACTTCTGAATTTTGCTCGTGAAAAAGCATATTATACTAGCTATATATGGCTTATCAAAGTAATAGTGGTATATAGTACTAAATCTAAGAAATAGTATTTATACTTATTTAAGCAGTATATGCATCATATACTGAAGAAATAAAAAGAGTAGTATATTCAGATACTGAGCAAACAAGAAAGCATAAACTCCTTTAGCGAGGAGATGCAGTAGATAGTGACCAAACAAAAAAGTAGTACTATAGCAGCATATACTGACCAAATTAAAAAAAAAAGTATATGCTCCTTAAATACTAATGTAGTATATACTGGCTATAAATTTCAAGAAAACAGTATATACTGTTCCAAGGTATAAGTAGCGCATATACTTATAAAAAAAAGTATATACTGTTCCAATAAACAGTATATACTTATAAGAGTATGCAAACATACTATATACTACGTAGTACGTTTCTAGTATGCAGAAAGCAGTACATATGTACATTCATATATATATTCTTTGTGAAATTAAGAAATCGGTACATACTCATTCGGAGAATAAATCAGTATATACTGAACAAGAAAAAAGTAGTATATGCTGCTCTAATTAAGTAAAATGAGTAAAGTTTACACTACTACTAAGTAGGAAACAAGCATATACTAAAATGTTTATAATCGGATTTTTCTAATCAGTTTGCATGGTAGAAGATCCATGTCTTTAGAGGATGGTTAGAGCATCACCAACAGTCCTCCTATAATCTCTCCCCAAAAATTTGTTTTTGGGTTTCCTAAACTGAAAATAGGAAGTAAAAAAACTCCTCCCTCCAACAGATAGCCTAAATTTAATCCCAAAAACTAAAAGTGGGTCCTTCTATTAAACTACCAACAGAAATTTTAGTTTTTCCCCTCCCACGCGTGCACAGAAAGAGATCGCTATCTCAGTATCTTCCACGCGCAATAGCCGGCCGATTCTCCACTGCACGCTCCCTGCCGCTACGCTGCCGGCCGATCTCTCCACACGCGCCCTGCTCATCGCCGATCCCTACACCATCCCTGCCATCTCCCCCTCCTCTCTTTCCCCCACTAGTGCTGCCCACCTCTCCCTTGATCTACTCGCTTGGCCGCCTCTCCCTACACGCCCTCGTCGTGTTAAAGAAAGAGATGAGTCGTCCAGGCAGCCTCGTTAAGATGCTATTGGATGATGAGTCTTCGTCGGATGACGATGATGAATTTATTTTTGAGGCGGTCAAAACAATTTTCGATGATAACAACGAAGAACCAAAGCGAGGAGGGTCTGTCTTTGGACATGCAGTGATTAATCGGGAGAGATTGGCTGGTCATTGGAGACTATACAATGACTATTTCTCAGAAGAGCCTACATACCTTCCTGTTCAATTTAGACGCAGGTGGGTAATAGTGAATTGTATTTTTTTTTCAATCTTGATTTGAATTAGTGATGCACGTATTAATTTTAATTGCTAATTATTTTTCAGGTTTAGAATGAAAAGGCTGCTCTTTTTATGCATAATGAATGCTGTTGAAGCGCATGATGATTATTTTGTTCAGAAGAGAAATGCTACTGGTATCATTGGGCTATCATGTTTGCAAAAGGTAACAGCAGTGTCACGTATGTTGTGTTATGGAATAGCTGCAGATGCAGTTGATGAGTATGTTCGTATTGGAGGTAGTACCGTTATTGAGAGTTTTAGAAGGTTTATCGTAGTTGTTGATGAAGTTTTTGGGGAGGAGTACATGAGGACACCAAATGAGAACAATATAGCTAGGTTACTTGCAGTTGGAGAACGTAGAGGATTTCCAGGTATGCTGGGTTCTTTAGATTGTATGCACTGGGAGTGGAAGAACTGTCCGACTGCCTGGCATGGTCAGTATAAAGGGAAAGAGGGAGTTCCTACCTTCGTTTTAGAAGCTGTTGCCTCGCATGATCGATGGATTTGGCATGCGTTCTTTGGGTTACCTGGAACTCATAATGATATTAATGTGCTCCAACGATCTCCATTGTTTGCAAAGCTAGCTGAAGAACAGGCTCCTAAAGTTAATTACACCATTAACGGACACAACTACACTAGAGGGAGCCATCACCGGGGGGCACAGAGGAGAGGCCGGCCAGTTCATCCCGTACGGCGGCAGATAAAAACGTGGTGGCGGCAGAATCAGGGAAGAGGAGGAAACAGCTGCCGCCGGATGAGCCGCCGGCGGGCACGACGCCGCCAATCGTGATGCCACCGGCCGCGACGCCGCCGGCCTTGATGCCGCCGGCCGTGACGCCGCCGGGCGAGGGGCTGCAGGTACAGGCGCCGGCGGGCGAGGCGCTGGTGGGCGACGCGACGCCACCGGGAGAGGCACAGGCGGGCGCAGGCGTGGAGAATTGCCAGGCGCACTAGTACAGATCCTTCTATCTGTGACGGGCTCTAATATACTTAGAAATAGCAGGCCGTCACAATGAAGTCATCTCAATCGGGCCGAAAAGTGCCCGATTGAGATATGGTCTCACAGACATGTTAGATGGGCATAAAACTTAAGCCTGTCACGGATGACACCTATTAGTGACGGGCCGTAGTTTAGGCCCGATTGAGATAACATTCCATATCTCAAACGAGTCTAAAGTTGCGGTCCGTCACAGATGACCATCATCTGTGACGGACACCAACTTTAGGCCCGATTGAGATAACATTCCATATCTCAAACGGGCCTCAAGTTGTAGCACGTCACAGATGACCATCATCCGTGATGGGCCACAACTTGAGGCCCGTTTGAGATAACAACTAGTCCCGTCACAGATGACTCATCAGTGACGGGCTATATACTTAATCTCTATCGGGTATTAACTAAAGCCCGTCACCGATGACTATTTTTCCATTTTACATATGAAATGTTTATATTTGTAAGTTGACTATAGCAAAATAATTAAGTGCAGTATAATAATTCATTTTATGAGTCAAAACAATTTTACGGGTAGTAAATGATTTCAAATGGAAAAAATGTCAACAACAAAATTGTATAACTTATCAAGATTTACAACTTTTAGTTTGGTCATTTTTCTATATAACATTTGTTTGAACAGTTTGAATTTGAATTTGAAAATATGACAACTTCAAACAATATTTTCAAATACTAAATGATTTTAATTGAAAAAGTCATCAACAACAAAGTTGAATAACTCATCAAGATCTAAAACTTTTATTTTTGTTATTTCTTCATCCGATGAAATATTAGTAATATTATTCACAAATTTTACATATAGATAAGAGATATGTCTAAGAGATATGTCAATTTTGTGAACAATGTAACTATCACTTTGTCGTATGAAGAAATGACTAAAATAAAAGTTTTAGATCTTGATAAGTTATTCAACTTTGTTGTTGATGACTTTTTCAGTTGATATCATTTAATGTTGTTTGAAGTTGATATCATTTAAGATTGTTTGTTCTGCAATGGATAACAATGGTGGGAGTTCTGTGCCAACATCGTCAACAAGATCAGGTGACATCTTCATCCATCTAGCTAATGTTATATTCATTGCTCAATTGATATATTGTTGCTTGCTAATATGAGGATCACTCCTCCCTCAGGTCCTTTTGCTGATATAACTAATGTAATTGATGCCAATTTGACGAACAACCATCCCGCTGCTAATAAAAATGGAACTAATGTGCCAAAAGATCGTGAGAATTGCCAGCACAACAACTTGGACTGTACAGGTTGGGCGTAGCACCATATTATATATTTTGTTTCTTTTTAAGGCTTTTGTATTAAGCACAGTTTTTGTGTGCATGCACTCTTGAAGATGTTACAAAACTAAGTGCGACTGAACTAAAAAGGAAGCGTGCTAGGGAGTGGTATGCATCATTGACCAAAGAGCCAAAAGGAAGATAGAAACAAGAAGGCACGAGATATCAGGAAGTGGAAGAACTTTGAATCACAAGGTTTAAATCTCTACTGCAGCATATCTAAACTCTATGAACAGAAAAATTCATTATTAAATTAATTAAACTTTCAGATAATGGGTCTCAAGCTGCGACATCAAAAAAATTTACTACTACGGCCTCATCTGTTTCAGGTTGAGTTGTCATATGGTCACTGCTAAAAATATGTTTGTAAATTTGTGCCAAAAACATTTTTTAATATGTTTGCATTTCAATAGCTCCGTTTGGTGATATTAAAAATGCAAGCACTGAAGATCAATCAGTAGGGGGCCGGTTGGATGTTAATGATGCAGGCACTGAAAATGTGGGTTCTATTGTAACACCTGTGCGTCTACCATTTACTAACAGTGCTGATATGTCCTACAGTACACCCAGCGAGTATACCATGCCTCTCCAGGCAGAAGGTCAATTCAAATAACTCAAGTATAAAATGACAATTTATATTTATATATGCGTATGTGTGAACCTCAGATTTTTTGTGCAGATGCTCATGGAGATGTCACTAATCTCAGCGCGTCTGAACTAAAAAAGAAGCGTGAGAGTGGTACGCATCATTTACCAAAGAGCAAAAGGAAGATAGAAACAGGAAGACACGCGATGCCAGGAGGCGGAGGAAGGATGAATCTCAAGGTTTATATATAAATTTACGCATATATGTCTATATCCAAATTAAAGCTTTACGAATATCTTGGCTCATTATTATTTTTTTATTAATTAAACTCTTTCAGGTAATGTGCCTAAAGCTACGACGTCAAAATTTTCTACTCCTACTCCTATGCTTGGAGATATTTCTATTGTCACCGCTGGAGATCCCGCAGGAAGGGAACAATGGGTTAGTAATGATGAATTATTGGACACCCCTGCAACAAAGGGAACAGGTAATGTATATCCTTACGTGCACTTGCAATGAATGGTTTCACAATTGCAATTGTTTATAGTTCAATGTACTATGTTCAAACAGGAAGTGTATCTCAACAACCCACGATCACACCTAGACATCTCCCATTTACAGTGATAAACAATATAGCATATTATGATCTTAATGAAGGATCCAAAGAACCTTTGAGCTACATAGTTCAAGGAGAGACACAGAACAATAATGAAACTGATTTTCTAGCTGCGAATTCAGGTACATGCACATTTAATACGTATACAGATTTGCGATTGGTGCTTAACTTAACTTTATATTATGTTTTAAACTATGACACTAGCCTTTATGTTTTGTCCTGTAATTTTATAGCACTATAAATATGCATGTTGAAATGCTCACCTTGACGACGGAAAACAATTGCCTCCATCTTGCTGCCCTACACATGTTATGAGTCGTAAGACAATAACAAGACACTAAAATAATTAGTGTCGTGACAATCAATTAACATGCAAATTAAATTATATTTCTTTGTTCATATCATTATGTGCTTAATTTTAAAATTGTCTCAAGAAATTTTGCCCAAAAGAGAATAATGCGGGTAAGGTTTATTGATTACAGCATACAAACAATCACGTCAGGATACACAAAGTCGTAGAACATCATTAGAGAATTCACGAAATCCTGTCTCCCGGAGCCTTTCACAAGACCAGTTGCAGTCACGTCGTGCTGGGGATATGTCACAACCCAAAACGACATTAAAATATACCCTTTAAATTATGCCTGAATAATTAAAAATCCTAGTGAAAGCCTCCAAAAATTAAAATGTGCAAAGTTAAAAGTCAAATAAGGCTTGGAGGATTTTTGTATATTTCCTAAAAGCCTAAAATGTGTAAATAAATTTTAGTGGAATTTTCAGAGCACAAATAATAATTATTAAGAAATAAACAAAATTGAAAAGGTTTTATAAAAAGAAAAATCCTAAAAACCTCCCTCCCTCTCTGGGCCGAATCCGGCCCATCTCCCTCCCCCTCTCTCTCCTCTCCCCCGCGGACCATTCGGCCTCTCCCCGCGCGCGCGCCGCTGACGGGCGGGCCCGCCCGCCACCCTCGCTGACGGGTGGGGCCCACCTGTCATCCCCTTCCTCCCGCCGCTCCCGCCGCCCCACCCGCACCTAGCGCCGCCCCCGCCGCCTCCGGCCGTTCCCACGTGCAATTAAGTGGGGGGAATTATTCCCCGTGATCCCCTCTCCCTTTCCCCCCATTTTTCCCTCTCTCTCCCGCATTCAAACGGCCGGATTTGCTCCCGCAAATCTCGCCGGCGCCATTGATGGCGGCCGGATTCCCCACGCCGGTTTCCTTCCCCACCGGCCGCCCTCTCTCCCTCCCAACCCTATTTAAACCCTCCCCGCGCCTCCCTCGCCCATTTCCGCCACTTGCCGCACCGTCTCCCCGCCGGAATCGAGCTCGCGCCGTCAGCCTCTCTCTCCTCCATCGCAGACGACCTCCGGCCGGCCCTCTCTGCTCGCCGGGACCGTCTCCCGCCTCGGCGTCGTCTCCTCCGGCTTCCCCGCACCGCTGCCGACCCCGTCCACCACCTCGCCGAGCTCGCCGACTGCCGGAACGCCGCCGTCCCCGTCCACCCGAGCCACGCCACCGCCTTCCTCCGCTCCGGCCGCCTCCTTTGACGTCGCCGTCGACCCGGGGTGAGCCGTGAACCGCCGTCTCTTTCCCCCTTCCCTTCCCCTCCCTTCCCCTCTTAAGCCAGCATACAAATGGCACCCTATGAAGCGTTGTATGGTCGCAAATGCTGGACACCACTGTTGTGGGACCAAGTTGGGGAAAGCCAAGTGTTCGGGACTGATATCCTGAGAGAAGCTGAAGCTAAAGTCAGAACCATTCGGGATAACCTAAAGGTGGCACAGTCTCGGTAGAAGAGTTATGCAGACAACCGACGCCGTAACCTAAAATTCGCAGTGGACGATTTTGTATACCTTTGGGTCACGCCGTTGCGGGGCGTACACAGGTTTCAGATAAAAGGGAAGCTCGCACCTAGGTTTGTGGGGCCTTTCCGCATCATTGCTCGACGCGGAGAAGTTGCTTACCAGTTGGAGCTGCCCGCATCCTTGGGCAATGTGCACGATGTCTTCCATGTGTCGCAACTCAAGAAATGTCTTCGAGTGCCATCCGAGCAGGCCGATTCAGAGCAAATTGAGGTTCGCGAAGACTTGACCTATGTAGAGAAGCCGGTGAAGATTCTGGACACAATGGAGCACAGGACCAGGAATCGGGTAATCCGTTTTTGCAAGGTCCAATGGAGCAACCACGCCGAGGAAGAAGCTACTTGGGAACGTGAAGACGAGCTGAAGGCAGCCCATCCCGATCTCTTCGCCAGTTCTTCCGAATCTCGGGGTCGAGATTCCGTTTAAGGGGGTAGGTTTGTCACGACCCAAAACGACCTTAAAATATACCCTTTAAATTATGCCTAGAATAATTAAAAATCCTAGTGAAAGCCTCTAAAAATTAAAATGTGCAATGTTAAAAGTCAAATAAGGCTTGGAGGATTTTTGTTTATTTCCTAAAAACCTAAAATGTGTAAATAAATTTTAGTGGAATTTTCAGAGCACAAATAATAATTATTAAGAAATAAAGAAAGTTGAAAAAGTTTTATAAAAAGAAAAATCCTAAAAACCTCCCTCCCTCTCTCTGGACCGAATCCGGCCCATCTCCCTCCCCCTCTCTCTCCTCTCCCCCACGGTCCATTCGGCCTCTCCCCGCGCGCGCGCCGCTGACGGGCGGGCCCGCCCGCCACCCTCGCTGACGAGTGGGGCCCACCCGTCATCCCCTTCCTCCCGCCGCTCCCGCCGCCCCGCCCGCGCCTAGCGCCGCCGCCGCCGCGAATCCCGCCGCCTCCGGCCATTCCCGCGTGCAATTAAGTGGGGGGAATTATTCCCCGTGATCCCCTCTCCCTTTCCCCCCATTTTTCCCTCTCTCACGCATTCAAACGGCCAGATTTGCTCTCGCAAATCTCGCCGGCGCCATTGATGGCGACCGGATTCCCCGCGCCAGTTTCCTTCCCCGCCGGCCGCCCTCTCTCCCTCCCAACCCTATTTAAACACTCCCCGCACCTCCCTCGCCCGTTTCCGCCACTTGCCGCACCGTCTCCCCGCCGGAATCGAGCTCGCGCCGTCGCCCTCTCTCTCCTCCGTCGCAGACGACCTCCGGCCGGCCCTCTCCGCTCGCCGGGACCATCTCCCGCCTCGGCGTCGTCTCCTCCGGCTTCGCCGCTCCGCCGCCGACCCCATCCACCACCTCGCCGAGCTCGTCGACCGCCGGAACGCCGCCGTCCCCGTCCACCCGAGCCGCGCCACCGCCTTCCTCCGCTCCGGCCGCCTCCTTTGACGTCGCCGTCGACCCGGGGTGAGCCGTGAACCGCCGCCTCTTTCCCCCTTCCCTTCCCATCTCTTGGCCGCCGCTCCGCCGTGTCTATGGCCGCCGCCGGCGACCATAGGGGCGCGGGCGCGCCGCCTCCCGCCGGCCGCGCCGACGTGGCCGCCTCCGGACGCGCCATGTGGCCGCCGCGTGGGGCCCAGCCGTCATCCGCCCTCGCCCTCTGGGTGTGGCTGACGCGTGGGGCCCACGGCGCCGGCCGGTGTGAGCCCAGGTGCGTCCGGTCCACAGTGGACCGTGAGGCTGCCGCGTGGGCCCCACTCCCGTGGACCCGGTCCGCGCGCTCCCTCCCCTGGGCTGACGCAATAAATCTTTTTAAATTAAAATTTAAATGAAGAATTCGCAAATATTCACTTAGCATATAAACTTCAAATGGCCATAACTTAGCCATTTGAACTCGGAATTGGACCGTTCAAGTCTCTAATTTTTCCTTAAGAAGTCAAGAACCCATTGTTGTGCTTTGTTCCAACTTGTTATATGGAGTTTTTTAGAGTAAAAGCCTTTTTCCTTTCCGTTGGTCGTGTAGACGTTGCAGCTTCGGAAGATCCGCTCTACGTGGAGGTTGAAGCCGACGTTTGGGAAAGCGAGCAAGGCAAGTCACATCATCCTTGAGCATATTGAATCCCAGATTATAAAATTATTTTGATTTAAATTATTGCATTACCGCTTTACTTAAATTCCCGCGTTATCACTGTTTTATTTAGCCATGCCTATTTACCTTTGTTATGAGCTTATTATTATTGCTATTGTTATTATTACCTTGTTCACCCTAGAATAAACAAAACCCCAACTAGTGGGTACTCTATTCATGGTACCACTAGTATGAATTTAGGTAGATGCTTCGCTGTTTAATTAGGCAACATTAGGTGGTTTTATAACTCTAGACTTTGGGAATATTCATATCACTTGGACACTATGGAATGGTTGGATTATTGTGGAATTGGACGCACACCTCCCCCTCTATTCAAAACCCTCAAAATGATTTTAGGCTGGGCTCGGGGTGCATGGTTTTTTTAGTAGCACCTCAGCCACATAAGGACCGGTCTTCGGGCCTCTGTTGCAAAGCACTACCGTACTTCTACATGTCTAGTGGGTAAGGCTTAGTTTGTGGCTCAGTCTAGTTATAAACAAAGGTACACGGATGGAGATGGACGAAGTCGGGGGTTGATGGACATCTCTAGGACAAATGAAGGCTACACGAGCTGCGGCCCGGTAGTCGAGATGTCATGGCACAGGGCTGGTGTCCTGCTGCTAGGGGCTCAGTCCTGCCTACCTGTCCCGAAGGTTTCGGCCGTAGGTAGGGTTGGGTCGGTACCCTTGTCTATGGCTAGGATGGGTTGGAAACTATGTCATGTCTTCCGTCCGTATGCCGTGGTGGTACGTAGCACGTGGTTACACGTGAGGAAGACGTGTCTTGTGGGTAAAGATGTACACCTCTGATCAGAGTATAACCTATTCGAATAGCCGCGCCCTCGGTTATGCGCAAGCCTAGCAATGTACCCAAGTTAGTGTTTTAAATTCTTAAAACCTGCTTAACAACTAAAATATGGAATGGTTGGCCTGGGTTGGCTTGGGACGAGCTGGGACCTAGGTCTGGTTGCCAGTTCGGTCTGAATCATCGTAGGCCTTAGGTTAAGGCAAGTTCGTGTGGGTTCACG